GTTTGCAAAAGTCCTCTATCAGAGACTGAGACCTCACAGTCCAAGAAAGCCAACTTGTCATTTTTTACATCTTCTCGTGTGAACTTGATGTATTTATCCAGAGTTGATGTGGTCAGTAAAATGTTGTCTTAGAAGGTGCTATTTAAGAGACTGAGCTGAAAACAGCAGCTCAGACTGAGGAAGTCTCTTGGATGAGAGACGAAACGTTTCTACATTTTTTTTTTTTGCTTTGTTTTGTTTTTTGTTTTTTTTGAATGTCCAGAGGACCAGATTGAACTTTCTTGGATTTTTCTACCTGGATTATTGAGCATGCATCAGGATACAAGTAAACCATGTTTTTGGTTCAAGATATCCTCGTGGATAGGACTTTCATTCATTCATTCAACCTTCATATAGACAGATAAGTCACATAGAACCTCAAAGACTCATTTACAAGTGAGATCTGTTTAGACATACAAAAAGTAGTGAAACTGGACACAAGTAGGAAAAGGAGGCGAAAAAATTCCTATCAGATTATTTTTTCTTGGCTGAGAAGAAAAATTCTAATATTAAAAAACACCTCACACAAACAAGCACATAATGACGTAGACATTCCACAGAGGGGGGAGATGACGAGAGCGGTGAGCAATGTCCATGGACGCTCTCAAGGGCACTGTAAGAGTTCTGATATGGATGGAATAATCAGCCAGTTTCGTCTGGTGAGATCCGTAAACATTCTCGAGGGATGTCGGGGAATAGCCAAGGACAATGCCTATGGGAATTCAAGAGTCCTGAAATGATGACACAATGTTTATTCAGCTGGTTTTATCTTTGTTGATCAGTTGGAAATTCCATGGGGGGGTCAGATCATATGTTCTTCAGGTGAATTCAGATAAGGTGGCCTTCAAGGCCAGCCAGGGAAGCCAAATTCAGACAGTTGTTTTGGAAACAGGCAGACTTAATGACATCTACCTTGAGACTGTGTTGGTCCACTCGGTTCCGAAATGTCCAAATTACATGGCCAAGCCAATGGAACGTGCCTGAGTAAAATCCCCGAGATCTGATCCATTCTGCCCAAAACATTTGAGTATGGGTACTCGAGGCACAAACCAAGCCATCATAAAGGCAAGCAGCATGATCGGGTCCCAATTTGTTGCTGATGACTTCTTTGATTGTAGATAAAACCAGCAACCAGCCGAATCCAAAAAGCAGGAACCAGTTACCATAAATAGAATTAAATACGCATCCTTAAAATCCACAAATGGCAGTAGAGATAGACACACAATCAAGTCTTCAAGTCGATGAGATATCCAGCTGTGTGCGTGCCAACAGGGCAAATCTGCTCTCCTAAAGCCTATCTTCTCTTCGAAGAAATGTTATCAATTGTGTTGAGGGACCAACTGATCAAATCAAGTCCATAATTATGGTTCAGAAGATATGCAAGAGAGGCTCAGAAGCAGTTTCACAGACAGACAAACAGCAAAGCAGAGAGGGAGAAGAGGGGAAAAGCGTCCGACCTCGGCAAGAGCAAGTGTTGAAGTGACTTGCACTGTGTAGAAATAGAGAGGTAGTTTTTTTTTTGTTTCCTTGTCCAAGGTGGTACCGAGTGACAGATAATGCCAAGTGGAGGGAGCCCCTGGCCTCAGACAACGGATTTGTGTCTACACTGGTCCTGTTAGACCTCAGTGCTGCATTTGATACCACTGATCACAATATTCTACTACAGAGACTTGAATATGATATTGGGATTACAGGAACAGCTCTTAAATGGTTTAAACCATATTTATCTGATAGATTCCAGTTTGTAAATGTACATAATAAATCTTCCTCATACACCAAAGTTAGTCATGGAGTTCCTCAGGGTTCAGTGCTTGGACGAATACTCTTTACTTTATATATGATTTCATAACATAAAGATATTAAACAGCATGGGATAAATTTTCTTTGTTATGCTGATGACAGTTATATTTATCCATGAAACCAATGAATCTGATCAGTCGGGACTTAATTTGTAAACTGACTGGTGCCGGAACAGTGTGGGGTGGGTCGTCTCTGGCAGCAGTGCGTGCTCCCGACACAGGGGAAACAGATTTTCACAGGGAAACTGAATTTTGCACAAGAGAAAAACGCTCAAGATTTTAAGTGGTCATTTCTGTTTTGGTATTAGGCTCAGATCCACATGAGACATCATTTAGGTCCGGATCCGGACCGAGGTCCGCCTATTATTGACATCTGCTTTAAAGACTCCCTCATGAATGCTGTTCAACAACTTGTCACCATCAGTTGCAGCCAAGTGAGATAAAACCAGAGCTCCACTCTGCAACTTATCATCTGGAGTGCAAATCCTTTATTTCATTCAATGGAACAATTTTTTTCTATACAAACTTGATAAAACTGTTCTGTTATGTTCCCATCCACCTGCACTCTGTAATCTGGGATAATTTAGTAAAGCCTGTTTTTTCTCAAAGAAAAAAATACTGTAGCATTTCTTGAGTTAGACTTGTGCAATAATAAAGTCTGAACATAAATTAATTCTTACCCTGCCTCTGGTCGTTTCCCATCAAAGGTGGCAAAATTTAGCTTAAACTTCCGGGGCTGCACAGAGAGAGAAGCTCACATTAAGCAACCTTCAAAGTTCAAAGATGTGTAGTATAGCACTGATAATGCTGAAAATAGAAAAAGGAGTTATTTTTGTTATTTGGGTTTACATACCTCCACCACTCAGACCAGCCTTTAGCCCCTTCCTCAGTTAGTTCCTACCAGAGACTCTTTTGACCAGCTTCAAACAAAGTGCATTCATGTACAAGCAGCTTCCTCGCCACTTTCAGCAGCAGATACAGACTGGTGAAAAGGGGAGCCCAGTAGCATAGCCAGCCCACAGAGCTCTGCATTTCAAACAGAGCATCAAGCACCCTCAAATTTGATGCTTTATATTGGAAGGCCTTGATGTAAAGCTGCTGTCACTTAAATTTAAACAGAGTATTTTGAAGATTGCTAACAAGAATTCATTCTGGACTTTTGCTGGAATTAATGACTTTAAAAAGTGCCCAATGTAAGTGCTTTGTGTTACAGTAAAGCATGGCTAATGCTAGTTGAGCTCCACTATTCACAGTTAAATCAACAAAATAAAATACAATTTGATGGTCTTAGATTAACAAGAAGGCAGCATTAAAAGTGACAATTGTTCGGTAACATTGATTTCTGATATAAGGTTAAAAAAAAAATTAAATTCTGAAAGTATTCTAGCTAACCTACCGGGTTTAATCCTGGAACCAACTTCCCGTTGAGTCTTTGTACACAGCGGTCGACACTTGCTTCATCTGCCAGCTCCACAAAACAGTATCCTGCAGAACAACTGCACAAAACAACAAGACAGACAGTGAGGGCCACCTGCAGCTGCTAAAGTGAATAATTCACAGCAACTCCACACATAAAGGAATAATCAGGGCAGCAATTATTAGACTTTCTTTTTTTCACAAGGTGCACAAAATTAGGAATGCTGCATCACCGTGGCTGGTCAGTCACCACCTACTTAATGATTACTGGTTAACACACAACCCACTGTGTCAAATTTAATAATAATAATAATAATAATGTCATCACAATGTCAGCACTGTATGTTTCCATACAATGGCGAAATTAGTCTCTGCATTTAACCCATCCACCACCAGGTGGTGCAGTGGGCAGCTATTGAAAGCGCCTGGGAGGCATTTTGGGGATGAGGCGTGCTGCCCAGAGACGCCACGTGATGTGCAGTGACTGGGGATCGAACCTGGGACTTTCGGGTCCCAAGCCGGCTGCCCTGCCTCTATACCATCTAACAATAACTCTGAAGTTAAACTGAAAGAAAAAAGGAAAGTTACGTATGTAACTACGGTTTTATGAATCCCGGATGACCGCCAGACGGTGGTGCTGAAAGCACTGAATGTTCCCTTTGCGCATGCGCTGTTTGAGTAATAATACCAACGGAGTCACAGGTGTGACACAGACAAGGCTATATAGCCTGACGTCATCCACAGCTCTGCTCGTACAGAATCTTCTCGCGGAATGCAAGGATTCTGAGTGACAGAGAAGCTCTAGCGGTCATCCAGGATTCATAGAACCGTAGTTACATACGTAACTTTCATTCTATTTCATCCCTCCTGACCGCTAGAGGGCAGTGCTGAAAGCACTAAATGACTAATACCAACGATGTCACAAGGAATCCTGAGCACACACCTCACTGAGGAGGCCCAGAGGACCCTTGCAGAAGACCCTGGCCCAGGGGATGAGGGGTGGCCACGTTCACTCTGTAAAATCTGGTGACGTGCTTGGGGAAGCCCATGATACGGCAGCACATATTGCTTCCATTGGAACCCCTCTAAGGGCAGCCCAGGAAGCAAACATGCTCCTGGTAGAATGCGCCTTCACGCCGACAGGCAGGGGGCCGACCGGCAGGAGGCCATGCCCTGCGGCATAGGCATGGCAGATGACATCCACGATGCAAAGGGAGAGGTGCTGTTTAGAAAAAGGATAGCCTAACGTAGGGCCTCTGTAACACATAGACAGCTGGTCTGAACATCATATAACGGCAGGAACTGCAACACATGCCTCCAGTGCTCTCACTAGGCACAATAATCCAGAACCCTTGCCAGGTATAGGCTGAAAACGTGCCAACCTCAACAGTTGGTTACAGTTAGAGTGAGATAACACCCTTGGTACAAATACAGTGTTTGGCCACAAGGTAACGTCAGAGCCCGCAGGGCCCCATCTCAGACATGAGGAGCTGAGAGAGAGCATGTAGCTCACAGACCCTCTTGCTGAGGCCATAGCCAACAAAAAGGTCGTCTACACGAAAACCACTTGAGGTCCGCCTGCGCCAGAGATTTGACGGAGGGTGGCAGAGAGCTTCGAGAACCAAGGGCAGATCCCAACCTGGTGCTTGTGGAGCTGTCGGCGGGTGCAACCTAAGGGTACCATATAGAAAAGAGAGACTAGTTCATGGCTCCCCACCGTACGACCATTGATGCTGGCGTGATTAGATGATATTGCCGCTACATAAACTCTAAGAGTTGAAGGAGAGCGACCCTTACCAAGGAGAGACTGGAGAAACTCCAGAATGGTGGGTACTGTACAGGAGACTGGATCTTCATTGTGATCAGAACACCATTGGGAAAACAGACGCCACCTGTTTTCTTACCACTGACGAGTAGAGGGTGCCTTGGCGCCCAGGATGGTGCATCTGACGGGGCTTGAAACTCTAGTCAGCTGCTGTCCTAGCCTTGCAGTGGCCACACCCACAACCGAAGATGTTGAAGATTGGGGTGCCATATCAGTCCCCCCAACTGAGACAGCAAGTCCCTCCTGGTCGGAAGACACCATGGGACGCCTTGACATAAACTCCATAGCAGTGGGAACCATGGTCATGCTGGCCAATACGGACCCACCAACAGCATCCTGTGGCCCTACTCAAAGACTCCCTGAAGGGTCGACCAAATTAGAGAAAGGAGTGGAAAGCCATATAGGAGGACCCTTGGCCAAGGATGGGCCAATGCGTCCTGGCCCAGCGCACCCGAAACCCCAGTAGGGGAGTATCATAGTGGACACTGAGTCGACTCCTCTGTCGCAAACAGGTCTACCTCTGCCTGACCAAAACGTTCCCAGATCATCAGCACAATGGGATTTACCTGTATAAATAAAGGTTGATTGAACTATGTCGCTGTGGAGGGACCACTCTCCCAGAGCAGACCCCTGGCGGGAGAGAAAGTCTGCGGCCTAACTGTGTCGCCCTGGTAAGTATGCCGCCCACAGGGTGGACAGGCGAGGAGAGGCCCATTCCAAGGGCTCTCTGGACACTATTAGAAGTTGTGCTGACCTGGTGCCCCCCTGGTGGTTGATGTGATAGACAACAGAGGTGTTGTCTGACCAAATGAGAACATCCCCCCTTCCAGGTGGGGCAGGAAGTACCCGAGTGCCAAATGCAATGCACGCAGCTCCAGCAATGGTTGGAACGGTCCTTTGACGCCAGTGGTCCTGAACTGCTCTGCGTTGTCACACAGTGCCCCATCCTATAGAGCTGGCATCCATCGTGACTGCTTCCCTGCGACACACTACCACTCCCATGGGGACACCCCTGGACAAGTAATCTTTGTCCCTCCATGAAGTCAGGGCATGAAGACATGACCATGTCACTGTGAGCTTGTGATACCTGTATAGCCTGGCATCCAGGCGAACCTGTTGAGCCATCTCTGCACGGGGCAAAGTGACAGCGGGCCTAAGGGTACCATCCGAGTGACTGACGTCAGTTGCCTAGTAGCTGCTGGAAGGCAACGTAGGGGAGCTGCCTGCCAAGCCTGAACCGACTGACCAACTGGAGTATGCCGCCCACCCTTTGAGCAGATGGGCAAGCTCTCATGGAGGGTGAATCCAGAGCCACCCAAGAAAGGTGATCGTCTGGGAAGGGATCAGGCAGCTCTTATCCAGGTTGACATTAAGGCCCAACTGGGACACATGAGCAAGCAGGCGATTCATGTCACGAAAGGCACAGACCCAAGACAGGGCACAGAGAAACCAATCATTTAGTATAGCAGAACCTTCACTCCGTAGGCCTGCAGAGGAGAAAGGGCTGCCTTCACGCACCGAGTGAACACCCTCGGGGAAAGAGAGAACCTGAATGGGAGTACCCGGAACTGCCAGTGATGACCCCGATAGGCAAACCTGAGAAAGCGGCGATGTTCTGCTATAATAGGCACATGAGAATAAGCATCTTTCAGGTATATAGATGTGAACCATTCTCGTGACAGCTTGAAGGACCTCTGCTGTCATGAGCATGTGGGAGGGCAGCACCCTTAGGTACTTGTTGAGTCTCCTGAGAACTAAAATAGGACAAAACCCGCCGTCCTCTTTGCATGAGGAAGTAAGTCGAGTAATAGCCTCTGGGTTGTTACAAAGGGTCCACTACCTCAATTGCACCCTTAGCCAGGAGGGTGAAAAACTCCTGGTCTAGTGCTTGAGCTTACACCGAGTCGGCAATTATAGTCAATTTGACCCGGCGTGAGATGTGAGGCTGCCGTCAGGACTGTAGTCGGTAACCATGGGTCAGAGTGGCAACCACCCATGGGTCCACGGCATGAACCGCCCAGTAACTGAGCTGCTGGTGGGAGAAGTATCCGACGGTCGGCCCGGTGGCATCAGCATCTCCCTCCACGGCTCCTGAGGGCATGGGGTGGGGTGGCCAGAGTCCCCGATCCAACCTGCCCAGCTGGTTGATGGCCTGACTCATGAAAGCTCCTGTCAGGTCTCTGCTGAACCGCACGAGGGTAACAAACCACTCGGCCGATCGTGACCCCGAGGCGGCGGCCGAATGCTGGAATCAGCTGACAGTTGCCTTGGATGTGGAGGGGGCATCACCCTGCTAAGGCCTGAAAACTGCTGCCTTGTCTGTTGTGCCTGGACAAGCACCAAACAGCACTGTGCAGAGCTTCCTCTGGTGACATGATGAGTGATGCAACAGCAGGTTCGAAAACCGACATGCATTCCAAGCCCGCTGCAGCTGGCTTATGCATAGCCACCAACACTCCGCCATCCGCGGAGAGGTACACAAAGACCTATGGGTCCCGCCAGCAACCATGCAACTCCCTCAGGTACTCCTCCAATGGAGGGACAGAAAAGGAAGGAGGGGGCTGTCTGCACCTGAAGAAGGCACTTCCAGGAGTGGACTTCTCTGGTTGTGGGACGTCCAGCTACAGTTGTCTCAGGGCCATACGCATGACGTCCTGCATTGAGTCGTCACCTGACCCACTAGCTGCGCTCCGAGACGAAGAAAATGAACCAGTCTCTGAGACTTGAGATGGCTGTTCCTCCTCACTTAAAAAGGGGAGAGGCAGAGGCAGCCAAGGATAGCACTTCTTCCCCCACAGCCAACTTGGGCATGGGTGAGGAGGAGAGTCTGGCCGCTGCCACTGGCTCAGCCCCCAGCTGGCGTGCCTGAAAAAGGGACTTCATCTCCGCCTGTGGACAGCTGCTCCACCCTTGTGGAGAGACCCTGATCAGACTTGGCTCGCTTCTTTCTAGGAGGGGCCACAGAGACTGTGGCCTCAGTCTTGCGCTTCAGGCGCCTAGGTAGAGCCTCCTGCCCAGAAGGTGGGAGGTCACTGCTGAGCTCGGGGTGAAACTGGGCCAGCCGAGCCACTCTCGCAGCACGAGGCATGAAGCTGCAGTTCATGCAGGGGTTCTCTGACAGGGCCTCCACTTAATTAAAAAAACACAACTGTGCAAAGGGGCTGGCACTGCCAACTATGTCCAAGATACAAGACGAAAACAAGGACAAAAGGATAGGCAGAAAATTGGTAGAGGGGGCGCGAACGTTTGCCTTCATCAATTAAAACAAGGCTAGAACTCAGAGAGGCTAGCACCACTAGCCCTGTCCAACCACTTATGATGTTGGAGAAAGAGATTGGGAGAGGGGGCGCGAACACATGCCTTCACCAATAAAAACCAGGCCAAAACTTAAGGAGGCTGTAATCGCTAGCTTGGTCCAACCGTGTATGAGGTTACTGACAATGATTGGGAGAGAGAGCGTAAACACTTGCCTTCACCAATTAAAACAAGGCCAGAACTCAGAGAGGCCAACACCTCTAGCTAAGTTCAACCGTTCATGAGGTTGGTGAAAATGATTGGGAGGGGGTGCGTGAACGCTAGCCTTCACCAATAGAAAACGAGGCCAGAACTCAAGAGAGGCTAGTACCACTAGCTCAGTCCAACCGTTTACAAGGTTGGTGAAAATGGTTGGGAGAGGGTGCACGAACGCTAGCCTTCACCAACAGAAAACAGGGCCAAAACTCAGAGCGGCTAATGCCAGCTCAGTCCAACCGTGTACGAGGTTGGTGAGAATGATTGGAAGAGGGTGAGCAACGCTAGCCCTTACCAATAGAAACAAGGCCAGAACATAGGGAGGCTAGTACCGCTAGCTCGGTCCAACTGTTTATGAATTTGGTGAAAACGATTAGGAGAGGGTGCGCAACGCTAGCCCTCACCAATAGAAAACAAGGCCAAAACTCAGAGCGGCTAGTAATGCCAGCTCAGTTCAACCATGTACAAGGTTGGTGAGAATGATTGGGAGAGGGTGCGCAACACTAGCCTTCACCAATAGAAAATAAGGCCAAAAACTCAAGAGAGGCTAGTAATGCCAGCTCAGTCCAACCATGTACGAGGTTGGTGAAAATGATTGGAAGAGGGTGCGCAATGCTAGCCCTTAAAAATAGAAAACAAGGCCTGAACGTAGGGAGGCTAGTACCACTAGCTCGGTCCAACCGTTTATGAGGTTGGTGAAAAAAGCCCTGGATTGAACCACACGCCAGAAGAAAAAAAGGAGCAGAGCTGCGGATGACGTCAGGCTATATAGCCACTGATTGGTCATCCGTGTCACACCTGTGACTCTGTTGGTATTATTACTCGAACAGCGCAAGCGCGAAGGGAACATTCAGTGCTTTCAGCACCGCCCTCTGGCGGTCAGGAGGGATGAAATAGAACTACAATTGTTTGTTTCAGTTTTCATTTTCAGAAGGCTGTGGAGAGTTTTAAAATGCAACAAAACATTAAAATACAGATTTGTTGATCACTTTGAACCTATTTTCATTTAATACAAAGTTTAAAAGAAATAAGTGTCATCAAGGAGTTTTCTGAATAGGAGCTCATCTCAGATTAACAGAAAGACATGGGCCACACGTTCTGTTATCACATCATATCTTAGATCTTACTACTGTTTTTTTTTACATTTTATTGTTGGATGTAACTGGGACTCTGCATACATAATCTCGTTCCAACACATGTACCGCATGAGATGTGAATGACAAATAAATCTCTCTGACTGACTCTGATTTTCCATCCATCCATCCATTATCTTTTACCCGCTTCTTCCATTTTGGGTCACAGGGGTCGCCGGTGCCCCTGTCCAGCAATTATTGCAAGTAGGTATCGCTGCAGGCAAATTCGGAAGGTGTATCTGGGTGGCCACATCTGATTGGATGATAGAAAAATGGGCGTATCCGGCCGGCCACATCTGATTGGACTATAGGAAAATGGGCGTGTCTGGCCAGCCACATCTGATTGGACAATTAAAAGATGGGCGTATCTGACCGGCCACATCTGATTGGACGATAGAAAAATGGGCGTGTCTGGCCAGCCACATCTGATTGGACGATAGAAAAAAGGCTGAACGATAAAAGCCGTTTGTGTTAACCACAGGCATATTATGTCTATGGTGTTAACCGGTTCGACATTAGCGGCGTCTCAGGTTCAACATTGGCGGCATCTCAGGTTCAACATTGGCGGCGTCTCAGGTTCAACATTGGCGGCATCTCCATAACTTCTTTTTCCGCATCTCTTAACACAGAACTTTCAGTTACATTTCAAAATAAGAGCAACATAACTGGGTAGTGGGGAGGGCTAAATGTTTTTTTTTTTTAAATACTTAGCCATAACATTAAAAAACAAAATCCATTTTGGTTGTTGAAAAATGTGAAAATAGTTACAATCAATTCATAAATTAAGAAAAATATTAATGATACTTAAACTGGACTTGGGACAAAGGATGTTTCCTTTAACTTCACATTTTCTTGTTCAACCTGCAGTCACTGCAGATGAGTGATTGTCAGTTTCTGTAAGATTTCTGCAACTGGAGCAGGTATTTCTGTTTACTGGTTAACTTCCTCAGCTGTCTCACATTTTAAGGGTCAGTCCTACTCCATGTTTCAGCTCCTTTCATAGATCAGATCTCATAGAAGAGCACTTCTAAAGAGCAAATTTTGTTTTTAGCGTTTGTTTTGGGTCATTATCTCGTTACAGGACTCATGATCTTTGATTGAGACCAGACTTTTTGGACAAATAGGAGCAGGTTTCGCTTCAGATGTTTCATATTTCATTGTACCCAGACCACACTCAAGCCAACCTGTGTCAGGTGCAGCCTACAACCCAAGAACAAAAGAGAATCTTCTTGTGTTTGACAGTAGATATAACGCTGGTTCTTAGAAACCTTCAGTTTTAAAAAAGAGTTGACGTAACTTAACTAAAGAGCAGCAGATACAGTTAGCCAATCAGTGTTTGCCCCCCACAAACGCCTATGAGCCAGAAACGCCCACTTTTGGCCTGCAGAGAACCCCTTCTCAATTATTGTGCAAGGTGACTCTGATTTTACTTTTACTAAATCAGTTGCAAATTTTATGTATAATGTTGATATTGAAACAGCTTGAGAAACAACACTGTACTTATTGTAATAAATAACACAAGATTGTTGAGCATATTTGTGGTCTGAGGTGTTCTGTATTTCCTACCCTGTTATCCTGTGAGTGATGATCTTGACTCCTAACGGTGATTCTCCCATAGCAATAAAGGCCTGTTTGACAAAGTTCTCGCCCATATATGGGTCCAACTAGGAAAAAAAAAGGTTTATTATTATCAAATGTAAACAAATAATCATAATAATTTAACTTAAAATAAAGTGCAATAAAATCAAAACCTTATATTGTAAAAGACTGGTTGAAGTAACAATAAAATGGTGGTAAAACTAAAATTGCTTTAGTTCTGAATACTTAATGATGTGTGGTCTTATATTTGGGTACAAACAAACCTCTTTCTTTTAACAAATCTCTTGAACAGCAAATATTTTCAATTCTACACAAAGTTTAATGTGTCTAAATTATTGAAAAAAATTGTTATTACTATTACTTTTTACTCCTGAGAGGAGCAGGGCAAAACGTGTGTGTGCTGGGTGAGTGGGGTCCTTCATGATGCAGGTGGCCCTCTTTCTACACCTCTAGATGCAGGAAGAGGGCCACCTGCATCGTGAAGGACCACACTCATCCAGCACACACACTTTTTGCCCCGCTCCCCTCAGGAAGGAGGTTGAGGAACATTAAGTGTAGAACCACTAGACTGAGGAACAGCTTCTACCCTGAGAATGTTAGACTCATGAATCTCTAACCAGAATAATCACTGTGAAAAATGACATCATGTTCTGCTGATCTGTTTCAATGTTGCTGCTGATCTGTTTCAATGTTGCTGTGTTCATTTGTGCTCATCTGCTCACAGATTCATGTTGTGCTGCTGTTCGGCGTAATGTTTTTATGCCATTAGTGCTTAGTGTATTTTTAGCTGTTTTTCTTAGTTCATATCTTAGATCTTAGTACCGTTTTTCTTTTACATTTTATTGTTGGATGTAACTGGGACCCTATGTACATAATTTTGTTCCACCACATGGGGTGTGAACGACAATAAAGAATCGCTGAATCTGAATTATAGTGGAATGCAACTGATGCATTTTGATGAAGACATGAATTATTGTACATTGACGGTTTCATTTTTTAAAAACAGCACGTCTTTCACTTTGTACTTTTATGTATGGTTATAAATTATACAAGTTATAAAACTACATCCAGCTTCGGTAAAACAGCAAAGTAACTACTTGAAGTCAATTTAAAACATCTAAAAAGAAGCAGGTAGTTAGTAGCTCCAACATTGTTAAGTATAGTGATAAGTCATTTGAATTTATAACCATACAAAAATGTACAGAGTGAAACGTGTCACGAGCTGACATTCAAATCATCATTGGCTGTTTTAAAGAGCCTTTCAAGTTTTTCA